TTCGAGAGAAGATTAAATCGATCAATCTCACGAGCACGCCCCTGTTTGCGCTTTTCATTCAGGTGAGCTTTACTGTCTTAAGAGGATTTTCTGCTTTCAAACAGTAGCAATCTTCTGTGTTTAAATAATGGTTTATCTTGGTTTCTTAATTGAATTACTGGATTAATCTGACCTCATGCTTGCATATGATGTTTCTTAAATAAATCTGCACCCAAAATCTAATACTGTCAAGGCTTTTTTCTGTAAGTGTAAGAATGTCCCCAGAGCCTCGCACATAAAGCCTCCCCCATCCATCATGTTTTGTCTCGGGCCCTGTCAGAACGTTCTGGTTCTCAGGCAAATTTTAATGAAGTTCTCATCTTGCAGCTCTTTCAGATTGATACCAACGGCTGTATGAAGGTTATTCGTGAGAGGAGGCCGAGGCAGTTAGCGCTGCTTAGGGCTGATGCAGGGCCTCAGCAGGTATTGTGCATGGTTTCTAAGCTTTTCCCTCTCAAATCTTGACCAAAGCAGAGTTTTTTGAACTGTGGGGCCAGTAGAGCTCTTTGTGCATGTGTGTTACCAGTTTGTGTTGGTTCAGAAGCATAATAAAGTGCTGGTTCTGTGGCTGCGTGTATAGGATGTTGGCAGATGTGGGTTTGATTCATGTCTGTGCTGTTTTAATTATCTTTACATACCTCAGAAGTATAATTTAATATAATTTTTTTTTGCAGGCTTCCCAAAATATGGACGCTTCCTCAGGTACCTGCCAGAACATTTATGATGTTCAAGAACGTTTCCTTAATCCATTACCCGTACATTAATGACCGATTAAACTGAAGGAGACTTTCTGGAACAAAACCACATTGCCATGCTCATTTTTCCTAGCTCTTGGATCTTTCAGTTATTGGCTAAATATGTTACCCTTTGGTAAAGACTGGAAAAGATACCGAAGGGCTGGGGGACCAGTGTCAATGGGCCACCAGGTCTGTGGACTATCACTGTTAAGCTTTTCTCCAGCACTGTACTGGAGTCAAGGTGCTGGCACTAACCACAACCCCAGTTTGTTGTTGTCACCCCAGCTGGGTGAAGTGCCCATGTAGTGCTGAGCAGTACAGTTCCTTGGGTGCAGTGTTCAGGTGCCATCCTGTCCCATCTGTGATTTCTGGGGAAAGTTACATCATTACTGAACTAGTGGTGAGCTTGCTGCTGCATCACATTTAATCTGAAGGATGTCAGGATGGGGCTTGATTACATGAAAACTATAGTGTTGTAGGATCTTTCACAAACAGGAATTCTGCTGTTTCCTGTGCAGGGTACTCGATACTCAGTAGCTAAGGAATGGCTTTTGAAAATACTGTTCAATCTTTTTCACTGTATTGCTTTATTTCCCCTCCTTTGCAGGCAGCTCATCACAATCTTGTGTTCAGAGGAACTCCCGAAGGGGCATCCCGAGGAATGCCGTGAGGAGACCTTTTACCTCAAAAGGAAGGGAGACTTCTGCTGCTGTCTTTGAGAGCAGCACCCCAGCCACGCAGGCAGCTCTTCCAGCCCAAGTGCAAAGGCGTAAGCCTAAAACTGTCTCGGAATTGCTGAGAGAGAAGCGGCTCAGAGAGTCCCGGGCTAAGAAGGCTGTGCAGAGGACAGTGTTTGTTGCCCCACAGATGCTGGTTTCGGCACCTCTGATAATCCAGCACACGCAACAGCAAATCATTCCTTCTGCACAAGCAGGGAGCAAACCTGCAGCAGTTGGTTGTACCAACAACCAGGTACAGTGTGCACCAGCTGCACTGCCAGCATTTACTTCTGTTACAGGTTCAACTTGTACCACTGTTGTGCTTAAAAACCATTCCTCATCAGTGCCAGGAAGTGGGGAAAGCCCTGGTTCCTCACAAGGAACAGAACTACAGTCCAATAAGGAACAAAATGAACAAGCTTTGGAAGGTAGACTTGAAGCAGGGATTTTTCCAGGCGTGGATCCAGCTGCAGCAGAGAAGGCCCCAGATCAGGGAGTCTGCAATGGTCAGGTCCTAGCAGGCAGCTCAGCTTCAGTAGTGTTACAAAACCAAGCTTTTGTGCCACATCAGATCACAGTGCTGCCTGTTGGCATTGAGTCTGGCACCAACAAATTGCCTCTTTCCGCACCAGTTACCCGTGAGCTGAATAGTAGTGTGCCACAACAGAGGCCTGTCAGTCTCTTGTCGACTCTTGTAACCCCACAGACTGGTTCTCATTTGATTCCCAACAGCATACTGCCTTTCACATGGGTCATAGCCCCCCAGGCTTTGCTCCCCACTGCTGTACAAACTGTGGTGGGGGTTCCCCAAGGACTGCCAGCTGCTGCTGTGAGAAATCCATGTCAGGCAACTGTGACTTCCAGTGGCAATGTCTCTAGCTTAGGAGTGCCTCCTTTTCCAGCTGGAGCAGATGCACCTCACCCCAGCAGCACAGAGACAAAAGCCCCGAGTGCCCAGGTAGCAGAAGGAGCATCTTTGGGAAAGGCAGGCAACCATTCCCCAGTTACCTTGTCTATGACCTCTTTAAGTCCTGGAAGCACCACAGCCAGTGTTTCTCTGGCAACACCAGCATGTTCAGAGGGCTGCTCCAAGGCTTCGGACTCCCCTGCAGCTCAGACTGCTCCTCCACCCGATGCACCAGCCCTGCATGCTGTGCTGCTGCCCCAGACACAGCAACCCGCAGGCACTCAGGGAGCTGATTCCCAGCGTGTGTCGAGTCTCACTAGCTTGGGAAAGAGCCATGATTCCATTACAACAAATGGATCACCATCCAATCCAGGCATCATCACAAAAGGACTTGTGCTCCAGCCAGGAGTTCCAGCTCCTCATAACAACTCCCTAAGCAACTCTGCTGCACAAGTACTGAAAAACAGACCTATTGCCTCCAAGCCCCCAGCTGTGCAGTGTGCTGACAGTGCACCCCAGCCAGCCACTTCCAGGGCAGAAAAGACTGTTGTTGACTTGGGCCTCATTTCCCTTGAAGACGGGAGGCTGGTGAAGGAGTGGCTGAGTGGGAAACAGGGTGTCCAGGTACCATCCCTGCAGACCAGGCTGCCTTATTTGCCACCTTTTCTGTGCAATTTAAGAGCCCTTGCAAATCTGCTTCTCCAGAAAGCAGCTCTGGAAGAGCAAGCAGCATCACTTCTGCCTCCTGGCTTCAGGGGGGATGAGGGCACCGGGGTTGATTTGCACGCTGTTGGAGAACTGGTGCAGGAGAAACTTGGTGATAACCCTGCTTACCTCCTACTGAAAGCCAGATTCCTAGCAGCCTTCACACTCCCAGCTGTACTAGCAAATCTGCCTCCTCCAAAAGTGGCAACGACTCTGTCAGCCAGCAGGAAGCAATATGAAGAGAGTGACGAAGAGGAGTGGCAGAGTGAGAAGGAAGTGTCTGAGGAAGAGAGTTGTGGGAATGAATTAAGAGGAGTACAGTTGGATTGGACAGTTGGTGATGAGCCTGTAGACAGAGATGCTGATTTACTAAATCAGGTAAGAATCAGTACTTTCCCATAGTAAAAGCCAGCAGATATTTTTCTATTCTGGCTCTGACTTCTGGGTCTGGGCCATGTTCAGTGTAGTTTGAACTATGAGCAGTAGGTCCAACACTCACAGCAGTTCTTCACTGCCCAACAGCTCTACTGCCAACCTCAGTCCTGTGTCATCCTTCACCAGGCTCCCTCCCTTTCCTGCTACTAATGCTATATCCAGGTTGTCCTAATGCTTTTCAGGAAAAAATCCGTGGTAGGGGTATAATTTATGAGAGTTGAGAGTTTGTGTAGACCTGTGTTGTTTGGGATGCTCTGGCTCCAGCAGTGACAGCTAATGTATCACTTGTGGCAGGCACGAGTGGCTGTACCCAGACAGAAACTACAGCAGGAATTGCTCTAGTTTGGTAGCTGAAGCAAGAAGAAATGCCAGTGTTGGCTGTAAGTTTCACTCTGAAATCTTTGGTGTGTTTTGTGCTTGCTGACACATTGGTAATAGGATGATGTTGTCCGCATGCTTCATTTGGAAGGTAAATGGAAGATTCTGGAAATCTTGCTGAGTTCCCTAAATGAAAAGATGGCTGAAGGGGTTCTGTTGTGATGATGCTGGTTCTCGTGGTGTTGATAGTCTCTCTGCTTATGTTGCAGGGCATGGGAGCTGAAGAGAATGCTGCACAGTCTGCCTTGCACTCCTGCACTGATGCAGCTGATGCCAGTGCTCCTCAAATCAGGAGAAGCACCCGCTTCAGGAAGAGGAGGAGGATGTGAGAAGGAAATGTGTTAGTAACTACTCAGTGAACCTTGTATTTCTTGTCTGAGAGGAGAACCTGAAACACATGTGTCTGTGGTACAGTGAGACAATGAATCATGACCCTAGGAAAGGACTGAAATTAGCTTGACTTCTTACTATAGGACAGAGTTTTGTGATCACCCATTAATCACAGACTAAGGCTGATGCTTTTGGGGGAGGAAAAGCTGATGTCTGCATGATAAAATTCTGTACAGAAGTCATGAAGTTCAAGGATTTGGCAGACTTAGTCCATGCTGCTGCCTCCTGGTATTGTACCTGTACATGTATAACAGGACACCACCCGCAGGGTACAAGCGTGTGCTCTCTGAATATCTGTTGAGGCTTTTGGTGAAACAGACTGAACGCACATGAACAGGGTTTGATTCATGTGGTTATCAGATGAGACTGTTTGGGTTTGTTCTCTAAAATTGGTTTCAAATACTCCGGAAGGGCAGATTCCCTATAAAAATGCTGGGACTAATGGGAGTTGTTTGTGCTTTGTTGCAGGAGTCACTTGAACGAGGTCTGCCTTCCTACATGGCAGTAGGAGATGCTGTTTGCACTATTCACTTCTAACAATTCCAACAGCCTGACTAGATGGACCTGGGGAAAAGAGGAAAAAGGCTGGACTGGTTTTCCCATTGCCTAAAGCCTGCATCTTTGGACAAGATGCAAAGACTGAAGGAAGTCTTTCCAGCAGAGACCAATTCTGTTTCTCTTTCTCTGCTGGGGAGAAGATTGCTGGAGATCTGGGAAAACCAGCAATCCTGGTTATTTTTTCCTTGTGTCAGCCCCTATTTATGTGAATGTTTATCCATGTTCAGAATACGTTATTCACTGGGTGGGTTTTTAGTGCTGTTACAGTGGTTTTGCTCCATAGCTGACTGGCTGCATACTGCTGAATAATCAGCAGATTAATTTTGTATCAAAATGAGCCTGGAGTATTTGTTGAAATACAGATGTTTTATTTTTCTCACTTAAAAATTACTGATGTATTCTGTGTGGGTTTTTTTTTCTGGTAAATTGTGCTTTTAGTAATGTGTGTGTGAGTGTGATTGCTAATGAGAAAAATGAAGCTTGCAAGATGCATGAAAGCCAGGGAGGATGTGGAAAATGAATATGCATGTGGCTGGAACTGCAGGGTTGAATTAGGCTTGGATTCTGTCTTGATTCCTCCACAGCCTGCCCCGTACACACGTTAGCAAATCATTTCAAACCTTGTTTCTTCATTCACAAGCCAGCAATTTGTATCTTGCAGAGAGGTGTGAGGCTAGCTGAGGCGAAGCTTGTCAGATCTAGTGCTGCAGAATGTGCTGCTTCATTCCACTGCACTGCTGAGCTTCCCCAGAGCACAGGCAGGTCAGAGCACTGTGAGTTGCAACTCTTCTATGAAGGTGCTTCAGGCCAGAGGGACACTGGGTACCAGTAGTGCTGTAATTGGGTGTCAGGACATTATGGGGCAAAAGGAATGGTGTTGAAATGGCTTTCCTCTTGCAGGGTACTCTCTTTTCCATAAGCCAGTATAGGTAACGCTTCTTGCAAGAAATTCAGATGTGCAGGGGCTCTGCCATGCAGTTCTGTCTGCTGCTCACTATAGGGCTGTTACCATGAGGCACTGGTACTAAATGTGATCTGTGCTCTAAATGATTGTTCTCTTTTGCAAGTGCTGCTCAAGCGATGTCCTTGTAATCCTATTGCTCGTGGAAAAGCTTTGTATAACTAAGAAGCAGCTGGTTTTGTTCTTTTTTCAGGATTAAACTGATCTGTTACAGTAGAACAAATACTCTAGAGGCTGGATTGGTCACTTAACAGACATTCTGATTACCTTCAGCAAGGGCAGAGCTAATAGAGCTGCTGTATCTTTTTTTAGTGTGAAGCTAATTTAATGCCTAACAAGAAGCACAGGCATAAAGAATCTCTGAGCATCTCTGCCCCACTCCTAATGATAACATGGAGAAACTCTCCAGAAACTTAGAAAGCAGAACAAAGAGTAGAGTGGGAAGCTAATGGGAAAATGTGTCATGCTGCCATGGTATCAGAGTGTATGTTCTCAAGACTTCTTTAAAACAGACTGTTAGTGAGTTCTTGTTGCAGCTACCGTTCTGGGACTGTGGGAAGGCGGGGAGGCAGTCAAAGGTATGATGTTGATGCTTTAACATCATCACAATGCTGCTTGCTGTGCTGCTCCTTTAATTACTGATAGAGCCACAGCCTGTAATTTGGGAATCGTGGGTTATGTTCCTTGCTTTGCCAAGACTTGACTCTCTTTCCCTCAAAATACTGAGTTGTCATCATTATGTTTGAAGCTTAAGGACATCCAAAATTAGAGGCATCATTATAGAAATCATCCTTTTCAGCTGAACTCTAAACCAAGAGAGAATTGTTGCTGTCACCTGCTTTCCTGTATAAAGATGTTACATGATCAGCTGAAAGGCCATTTGAAGAGCCTCTTTCTTCTCTATGATTTATTTTGTCCCCTGAAGTCAGCTGATCTGTGACCTTCACTCTCTCTAGTCTTCTTGACCACAACACAACGAAACTTTCTGGACCCTTGTTGGTACTTCAGTGCTACAGATTGGAAAACAAAGCCAGAATGAACCTAAAATCACTCTGTATGTAGTGCTGCCAACTTGCAATGCCACTCCTCCCCCATCACCCATTCTGGCTTCCTCTTTTGCTGCTTTTTATGTCTTCCCCCCTCTTCCCTTTCCCCTCTCAGGGCAGAGCTGAGTAGTTTCCCCTTTTCTCTTTTCTCAAACCAGTTTTGCTCCTGGAATGATCTTTGCTCTAGCCAGAATATAGAGGGATGCTGCATCCAAGACAAGTTTTCTCAGAGACAGGACACAGATGAGTGGTGCTAGACCAGCAGAGGAAACCAGGAGGCTGTTTTGACTGCACAGTCTCAGGTTGGTCCCCGTAATGCAGAATGGTTTATATTAACAAGGGAAAAAAGTTCTATTTTACAGCTCTGAGGTAAGGATGTGGTCTTTATCAACAGGGGAATGCAGTTCGTGTAATCTGGTGGGGCTGGTGTGATGGCAGGCAGGGTATTTCTCTGTAAGTCAGTCCAGCTCACTGAAGTTAACTGACAGTGTGATGTGTAACAAGTGCGTGCTGAAGGTGTTTGGAGTCTTTCTTTGTAAAGTAAAGATTTAATATGAAGCATAGCTGAGTATCTGGAAAATCTGTGGTGAAGTCAGTCAGACTGGGCAGTGATGTCTTGGGGTCCACTGTTGAGAATCGAGAGTTCATTGGCGTTTCCTCTGTTCATGGGGCTCTCAGTGACTATCGCCAGCAGACTTGTTCCTAAGTAGTTTCACTTTCGTGTTGCACTGAGATCTAGGAGATGTTTGGGTGGTTGGAGGGAGGCATCAAGCTTTGATGACTTCTGTTTACTCAGTATTTCACACTATCTCTCCTTCACATATATATCAGAAGCACTGGCATTAGCCTCAGAGCTGTTGATGCTTCCAATCTGTGGTACCACTGTTTTTTCTGTCATGTGACTGTAGCATATCACCATGTTCTGCAGGTGATTTGCAACCAGTGAGCTATAGACCACATGGAGATGAGGTTCTGTGTCTAAAAGATGCTTTCCCATTGTCAGCCTGTTGACATACTTGGTTCTACCACCGCTGCCTCCACTGCTCCAGGAGGCTCAGAGTTTGCTTGTTTTGCTTTTCAAGGCAGGACCGCATTGCTCGCTCATACTTCTCACTCACCACCATGCTGGAAGAAGATAAGGATGAGACATGTTGGAATAACCTGGAGAACTTCCGAGTGAAGCTGATCTCTGTGATAGATCCTTCCCGCATAACACCTTATCTTCGGCAGTGCAAAGTGATCAGCCACGATGATGAGGAGCAAGTTCTTAATGACCCCAGCCTGGTCATGCGCAAGCGGAAGGCAGGTGGGTCAAGTGCAGCCTTTGGCTCCATGGATCAGCCGGGGAACATAACGTGCTCTTCTGAGAGCTGCTCTTTGCAGCTGCTGTAGCAGGACTAAGGTACAAAGGTTAGGTTTGAACTGTTCTTTACAGTTAAAATACTTTTGGTTAGTTACTGGGTAGTTGGCTTAGGACTGGCTGGAGCATTTCATCCCAGGGACTTTAATCTGCACGTGGAGAAAGTGAAGCAGTTTGTTAATTTAGAAATGGGTAAAGAGGAAAATAATAGAATATCCTGTTGCAATCATTTCAGGTGTTCTTCTGGACATTCTGCAGCGAACGGGACACAAGGGCTTTGAGGCATTTCTGGAGAGTCTTGAGCTTTATTATCCACAACTGTATAAGAAAGTAACTGGCAAGGAACCCAGCAGGGTGTTCTCTATGATTATAGGTAATGCTGTGTTCTGAAAAAACAGCTTTTCCTTGGGTGTTGTTTGCAAATTAAGAGGGGGTTCACTCCCACTTTTGCTGCTCCTCAGCCCCAGTGAGCAGAGTCAGGAGCGTTCCCTGTGTGCTTCAGAAGGGTTCTGGCAAGACTAATGTCACAGGGTGGAGAAGGGAGAAGAAGGTTCAGTTCTTCCTTCTGCCTGTTCTGGGGTGACACTGCTGTAGGAAGGTGCAGAGCAGGGGGGAGCAGTGTGGCTAATTTGATCACATGTGTCTTCAGGATTTGCATGCTTGCGTGTGGCATGTGGTGATCCCGAGCTGCAGTGGCAAGTGGGTGGGAGCCTGTGCTCTGTGTGTGTGTCTGGGGACAGACAGGACAGCAGAGGCTGACACCTGCCCCCCCAAACAGACACCGCTGGGGAATCGGGCCTGAGCCAGCTCCTCATGAACGAGATCATGAAGCTGCAGAGCACGGTGCAGGAGGAGCGGCGGAAGGCACAGGAGCTCACCCTCTGGCTGCACACCAAAGAGGACACCATCAGAGAGCTGTGGGTGAGGGACAGCCTCCTCCGCAAGCACCAAGAGCTGGCACAGAAGATGAAGGAGGAGAGGGACAGCCTGAGCAAGGAGCTGCGGAAGTGCAAGGACGAGAACTACAGCCTGGCAATGAGCTATGCCAGGCAGAGCGAGGAGAAGAGTGCTGCCCTCATGAAGAGCCGGGACCTGATCCTAGAGGTCAGTCAGCCTTTCCCCAAGCTTCCCCTTTATGTGGTCCCTGGAAGGCTGTGCTGTGAACCAGACTTGGTTCTGCCCAGGATGGTCTGGACCAGTCCAGTGTAAAGAACCATGCATCTTCTCTAGCGCATGGCATGTCTTGGTGGTTCCTAGCTCAGCCCTGTGGGCCCACGTGTTACAAGCTGTGCTCTCTCACAAAAGCAGTACAGGAATAACACACATCTATTGGCACACAAGCAGGACTCTCCAGAGCACCGAACTTCCTGAGAAAACAGAGCTGGGGAGGAGCTTGCCCCATGTTTCTCTGGGAATGGAGCTGAGAACTGCTTTTGCAGGTCAGAATTTTCTCCTCATTACTGATGAGCTCTGAACCTTCTTGCAGATAGACCACTTGAAGCACAGCCTCATGAAGGCTGAGGATGACTGCAAACTGGAGCGTAAGCACACGATGAAACTGAAGCACGCCATAGAGCAGCGTCCAAGCCATGAGGTGATGTGGGAGATCCAGCAGGAGAAGGAGTTGCTCTTGGCCAAGAATCAGGAGCTGGAGAACACTCTCCAGGTTGGTGGGGGTGGTTGAATTATGGACTCCTGAGAAGTGATTATCTGTAGCACCAGTGCATTGATGAGACTGCACTGCAGATTGTGTTGGTCATCTTGTTCTCCCAGGTGAAACAGAGCACTTGGGACTGTGGGGACAGAGTTGATATGGGGTTAGATGGTTGCTGTATCGCACTTTTTCCTTTGTCCAGGAGGTTGCCAGGGAACAGAACTTGGAGAAGAGCCTCTCCAAGGAGACTCTGGAGAATAACTGTAGCCAGATCCTAGAAGAACGCCGGGAGCTGTTGAACACCATCTACAGCCTTCGCAAGGAGCTGCGGCGAGCCGAGGTGCTCCAAGACAAAGTACGTGATGCCATGCAAATCCCTGCTGAGGGGCAGTGGGTGAGACAGGCAGGTGAAGCACCTGCAACATGGAGCAGAGGAGCTGCTCACCAGCAATCCTCACTGCTCCTGTTCTAGGGTTACAGTTTGGTAAAAGAAGGCATGGTAATATTTTAGCATGCAGTGTCTGTGGCATTAACTGTTTGCAGTCCCTGCCTCAGCCTGGAGGGCGATGGGAGCTTTAATCACGACTGACAGCTCAGGAGCATGTAAATCCATCATGTCAGCAGTCCAGCCTTCTGGTTCACCCTGCTCCAACTGGCTGAACTTTGACATGGCATGGAGGAGGTCTGGCCACAGCAATCGGTGGCACAGAGCAGGAGTGGGGAGAGTCTAGCTCAGGCCCTGCCCACAAGCAGGGTGCTCATGACCTTGTCTTAACAGTACGCAGAGGAAAAGGAGATGCTTGAACTCCAATGCACATCCCTGAAGAAGGACTCCCAGATGTACAAAAAAAGGATTGAAGCTGTCTTGAAGCAGATGGAGGAAGTGGCTTCAGAAAGAGACCAGGTGATAAAGCATCCATTCCTCTTGGAGCTGCTGCTAATCCCTGCTTTGCTGCTTGAAGCGAGCAGATAATGTAACCCTGAATGTACCCATGTGACATGCCATGACAAATTGTCCCTTACACCAGGCACTCCTGACCCGAGAACAGTTCTATGTGCAGTACTCCAAGAACCTGGTCGAGAGGGACACGTACCGCAAGCAGATCCGGGAGCTGGGCGAGCGCTGTGATGAAATGCAGCTGCAGCTCTTCCAAAAAGAGACCCAGTTACTGGCGACTGAAGCCAAGCTGAAAAGGCTGCAGCTGGAGCTACCTGCACCGGTATGCCTGGGGGGTTGTCACCTGTATGATGGGGTGGGAAGGGGAGGGTGGGGACAGAGTGTGGCTACTTGGAGCTCTTTGCCCCTGACCAGTTCAGATTCAGCTGGGTGGGTAACCATTTCCACACAAATGTTGAGTTTAGAATAAAGACATGATGGCTCCTATTACCTCCTGCATGGGTAAGCTGGACTCATGCAAGCTGAGGCTTTCTGTGTTAGGAGCATGTCCAAAGATAATGAGTGACCACCAAAGAGTGAAGTCTATTTAGAAACTGACTGTGTATGAGCCGTCTGGATGAATTTGGGAACAGGGTGTAAGGTGTAAGGTTTCTGGAACTAAAAGAGAGATGCAGGGGGTTTAATTAGTGAGGTAGCTTGTGTTCTGTCTCCATGTGATCAGACAGGAGTGTAGGAGGGAGGAAGTTCACACTTCTCTGTTTTCTGGAGCTTCTGATCTGTATATTCTCTTACTGCCACTTCCTTGCTTATAAGGAATGATTAATTTACACTGGTTTTATTGCAGACCTCTGACCTGGATGATACCTCCTCCAGAGATTCCCAGGAAGTGAGTACAGTGCCTTGTTTACCTTTTACTTCTGGGATGGTTCTGGAGGCCAAAAGTATCAATAAGGCCAAAGGAATGAGATTTATTCGTGGAGGATAAATCCATGAGTAGATCTGTGACTTCTCGCTCAGTGTGCTGTGTTGCTGACAGTAAGATGCACTGGGGAAAGGTCAGTTTTACGTGTGTCCTGTTTCTTACATTCCTCCATCTGTTCCTAGCTACAGTGTGAGATAGAAAAAGGGGTAGTTCTTATGCTCTTGCTTTCTGTCCCACAGCTTACTCTTCACGGTCACCTAGATGAAGACACACAACCAACTAAAAGTAAGGCTTTTTCTGGGGAAACATAGAGTAGGATTCTTGAGAGGGTGGTCCTGTGTTTCAGAGGGTCAGGAAAAAACATTCCTGGGTTTTATTTTTAGTGAGGAGTAGGTAATCTGACTGGGGACTTGGTTTGTGAGGGATGCTTCTCATTGGGGTGTGTTTGGCACTCTGAGTAAGACCTCCGTGAGATGGCTCAGAATAGGTGCTCACAAATCAAGGCATCCTGCTGTACCACCACCCTTCTCACCTATCAAAAGGAGAACACTGAGAACGGTAAATGTTTGTAAAGCTCTTTTGAGAGAAAAAGCTCCACAGCCTGTCTTTTTATTACATGGTCTCTAAAACGGTCTTTGCTACAGCTGAACGACCTGGGAAAAGCAGTATCATTAGATAGACCATCCTAGCACCTCCAGTCTTTCTTTTTGAAGTAACCTGCCTATTGCAATTGTCCAGGAAAATCACCTGGTGCCTTTGAGAAATAGCTCCTGCGTGCCTTCCCTCCCCCAGTCCTCTCGCGGTTGTGGCAGAGCTGAGAACAGAACAAACCTCCTTCCGCTTCTGCTGGACCATGTGGCATTCTCCAGGAATTTTTCCCTCCCCTCTTCCCTTTTGTGTTGCCGGCTATTTTCACAAAAGCAGAACCATGTAGTTAATGCTGTCACTGGCTCTGTTTCTGTGGCATCCCCGGTGGAAATGATTCAGCAGTGTGGAAAGGAGTTAATAGGCTCCTCTAAGAACTTGAAAATCTCTTTCAAAACATGTTGAGCAAGGAAGGAAACTGGCACAGTAAAAGCAGCTTTCTGTTTTGCTCTCCCGGGAGACCTAAATGATCCTTTCATTCATTGAGATGGGAGATTTTTTGCAAAAGCCAAATAACAGATCCAGAAAGCCTTTTACTGTTCTGTCTCACTCGGTTCAAAATCATGTATCAGGATACCTGATCATTCCATCAGGCTAGGATCTGGTCTGATGTGGAGTGCCTTGATACACACAACTGAGTTCTTGGGGAACAGGGACAAGTTATGGTTAAAATAATGATGAACATGGTTCTTGTGGTGATGTCTAATACGATTATTTCTTGGTGATGCTAAGCAGAGGTGCTGCTTTGCAAAGGTTCATTTTGCTCCTGCATACACAGAAACCAGAAAGCTGTTGTCCCTTTCTGAACCTGGTGGGGAACTCCATCATCCTGAGCAAGACTGAGGGTTCAAGTGAAATGAGAAGTGTCTGAATCCTGACGTTTTGCAGCTTGGTTTCAGTTCTGCTGTTACAGCATTACAGCTGTTTGATGAACTGGTGGAGGGAGAAGTTGCTTCATAATGGCAACTGTGACTAAACCTGTGATTTTTCCATCCCTTAGAAGGTTGCCCTGAAGGACAAACCCAGCAATTTAGCACTCAAGAGAGCAGCCTGCCTCCAAAGTCACCAAGTGTAAGAGAACCTTTGTGGGCTCTTCTTTACTACAACTGGGGTTTGTGATCTTTACTGTTCTTGTTAATGATGCATTTACCAGGTTTGACAAGCAGAAACTGCTTTCCCAAAGCCTGAGCACTTTGTGCAAAATTCACCCTCCAGAAAGGTGAGCTCTGAACAGCAGAACACTTATGGTGGTTATTTCTCCATCTGTGTCTAGAAATGCCTGATAACTTTCTGGCCTTCACCTCTGGGTGTGGATGTTTTCCAGTTTAATTGCCCACAGTATTACTGTTGGTACAGGAAACAGAATCCCAGACTTACAAATGGGAGAGAATAAAGACAGTGAAACAGAGCTATTGCCAGCCAGCACACACAGTAGTGGACAGCCCAGAAATGAACAGGCTGTACTTCGTTCTGCAGGACCAAGCAGAGGCAGGAAGCTGTGTGCAGTGGACTGCCCTCCTGGAGGAGGGGTTTGGTAGTGAACAGCTCTTCTTGGTCATCTGACAGCAAAGGTTCCCATTTTTTTTCTCCTTCATTAAATGTAAAATGATTAATTGCACAAACAAGTGGTAGAGCAGAAATGACCAGGCTCCTTTGGGTGGGCTGCAGCCCTTCACCCTGCAAGGACCAGCAGCAGCACCTCAGCCTTGGGACCTTTGTGGACCAGGTTTGCACTGCCTGGTGCTGACACTGACCTGATCTTCAGGGGGCTTCAGTTCATCTTTGTTTGGATTTTTTCCAGCTCAAGGAGTGTGTTTTAGCCAATGAGGAACTGGCAGAAAAGGAGCGGAGGAGGATGAAGGACTGCTTTGAGCGTTACCAAAGGTCTGGACTTCACTAAGCAGGACTAACTTAGCCATGCTCGTGTGACTTAGTGGATCAGCTTGTTGTATGTGTTTTTTTTCTGTCCATCCCCTGTCCTCAAGCTTGATACATGGAGGTGTAAATTCATCACAGATCCTGTCTTTAGAGGCTCAGGCTTTTAGCCGAACTGTTTGAGACTCGTTTTAGTACCACAGGTAGCCAAGGTAGCAGTGATCGTGTTTGCTCCAGACCATGCAGATGGTTCCACAGCAGGGAATGGAGGGTGTTCCAAAGAACTGCAAGTTTAATAATGTTGATAGATTCCTCCCATGCGAGTGAAGGTCTGACATTCACTGTCTGACAAACTGCTGACAGTCAGGACCAAGCTCCATGACAGTGAATGGGGGCAGATTTCCATCCTCCATCCTGTTCAGATGCTCTTGTTTGAAGGCTTGTTCTCCTAATGCTTGATGTCTTCACTGATCACTGCTGTTCTGGAGCATGAGAGCAATGAAAACCTTGTCAAACAGGGACCTTAGTGCTAGTTTTAGCTAGAGGTGTGCTCCTAATGACTGTTGACAACAGTATTTTTATTAAAGGAAGGGCTTTGCATAGGACATCAGCCCTATCCCACACTTCTAGAAGAATGTCTCCATGATTTAGACCTGTTCTGTCTCTTTGCCACCAGTCAGAGCTGTGGGTTGTGAGAGCAAACCCTGGCGTTCAGCCAGCGCTGGGTGCGCTGGCCCAGCCTGAGCTCCGAGTGCGCTCAGATGCCGCTCGTTTGCACAAAACCTCTTCTAAACCTGAACCTCTTTCAGAAAGAGAGCGCTGCGAAGGGCACCCAAGGGCCGGCACCACGAGGCCGACTGGGAGAACACCACCGGCAGCGACAACACCGACACCGAGGGCTCCTGAGCGTGGAGGCTACCGGCGCGGGGTCTGTGTGCCCATGGACTCACTGCTTTTAACCCCGATAAAGGAACATCTGTGGAACGTTAATGTCTGTAACAGTGGGGTTTAGGGCTGAGGTCCCCTTGTCCGTTTCCCTCCCTGGAGCCGCTGTGAGCCCACCCCGACACGCTCCTGTGTAACCCGCCCTGGGTGTCCCTTCCACCCCCAATGATGCTGTGCTCTCTCTCCTACCCCTGCAGTGGTGGTACACGTGTGTGGTGCACAAGTAACCAGGATGCACTCTCTGTGGGCCCAAAACCCAGGCTCAGTTAGCCCCTTCAATTACGCGCTTGTAATTGAAGCCTCTGACGGGCACTGCCCCCAGCGCAGCCCCTGCCCTCGCCCGCCATGGCCGCCGCCATTAGCCAACATGGCTGCCGCCAGTAGCGGGCATGGCCGCCGCCATTACCCATCATGGCCGCCGCCGCCTCAGTGCCCGCCCCCTCCGCGCGCCTGCGCCAGCGCCATGCAGCGCGCGGCGCGGCCGTTGCTCGGGGTCCTGCTCCGCGCGGCCGCTCCATGGCGGCCCTGGCCCGCGCCGCTGCCCCACCGCCCGCTGCCGCACCGCCCGCCCCACCGCCCGGCCTGCACCGCCACCGACCCAGAGCAGCCGAGGACCAAGCACTATCGCCTGGTGTACACCTGCAAGGTGGGCGGCGCCGGGCCGGGCTGGGCCGGGCGGTGTGTGAGGGACCGGGTCCGTGTGTGAGGAACCGAGTCCGTGTGTGAGGGGCCGGGTCCGTGTGTGAGGAACCGGGTCCGTGTGTGAGGGGCCGGGTCCGTGTGTGAGAAACCGGGTCCGTGTGTGAGGGGCCGGGTCCGTGTGTGAGGAACCGGGTCCGTGTGTGAGGAATCGGCTCCGTGTGTGAGGAACCGAGTCCGTGTGTGAGGGGCCGGGTCCGTGTGTGAGGAACCGGGTCCGTGTGTGAGGAACCGGGTCCGTGTGTGAGGAACCGAGTCCGTGTGTGAGGGGCCGGGTCCGTGTGTGAGGGGCCGGGTCCGTGTGTGAGGAACCGGGTCCGTGTGTGAGGAACCGGGTCCGTGTGCGAGGGGCCGGGGCCGTGTGCGAGGAACCGGGTCCGTGTGTGAGGGGCCGGGTCCGTGTGTGAGGGGCCGGGTCCGTGTGTGAGGGGCCGGGTCCGTGTGTGCGGGGCCGGGTCCGTGTGTGCGGGGCCGGGTCCGTGTGTGCGGGGCCGGGTCCGTGTGTGAGGGACCGGGTCCGTGTGTGAGGAACCGGGTCCGTGTGTGAGGAACCGGGTCCGTGTGTGAGGGGCCGGGTCGGTGTGTGAGGAACCGGGTCGGTGTGTGAGGGACCGGGTCCGTGTGTGAGGAACCGGGTCCGTGTGTGAGTGACCGGGTCGGTGTGTGAGGAACCGGGTCCGTGTGTGAGGGACCGGGTCCGTGTGTGAGGAACCGGGTCCGTGTGTGAGGAACCGGGTCCGTGTGTGCGGGGCCGGGTCCGTGTGTGCGGGGCCGGGTCCGTGTGTGCGGGGCCGGGTCCGTGTGTGAGGAACCGGGTCCGTGTGTGAGTGACCGGGTCGGTGTGTGAGGAACCGGGTCCGTGTGTGAGGGACCGGGTCCGTGTGTGAGGAACCGGGTCCGTGTGTGAGGGGCCGGGTCGGTGTGTGAGGGACGGGTCGGTGTGTGAGGAACCGGGTCGGTGTGTGAGTGACCGGGTCCGTGTGTGCGGGGCCTGGTCCGTGTGAGGGCCGGGTCCGTGTGTGAGGAACCGGGTCCGTGTGTGAGGAACCGGGTCCGTGTGTGAGGAACCGGGTCCGTGTGTGAGGGGCCGGGTCCGTGTGTGCGGGGCCGGGTCCGTGTGTGCGGGGCCGGGTCCGTGTGTGAGGGACCGGGTCCGTGTGTGTGGGGCCGGGTCCGTGTGTGAGGAACCGGGTCGGTGTGTGAGGAACCGGGTCCGTGTGTGAGGAACCGGGTCCGTGTGTGAGGGGCCGGGTCCGTGTGTGAGGAACCGGGTCGGTGTGTGAGGAACCGGGTCCGCGTGTGAGGGGCCGGGTCCGTGTGTGAGGAACCGGGTCCGTGTGTGAGGGACGGGTCGGTGTGTGAGGAACCGGGTCGGTGTGTGAGGGGCCAGGTCCTTGTGTGAGGAACCGGGTCCGTGTGTCGGGAACCGGGTCCGTGTGTGAGGAACCGGGTCCGTGTGTGAGGGGCCGGGTCCGTGTGTGAGGAACCGGGTCCGTGTGTGAGGGGCCGGGTCCGTGTGTGAGGGGCCAGGTCCGTGTGTGAGGAACCGGGTCGCTGTGTGAGGAACCGGCTCCGTGTGTGCGGGGCCGGGTGTCAGAGGCCGTGTCGGCGCCGGGCGCTGCGGGCCGGGGTAAACGGCTTTTCCAGAGGAAGCATCGCCCGTGTGTGCGGGAGAGGTCAGCACAAAGCTGCACGGCATCGTCACACAAACGGCCTTGTAACGGGAGGGGGAAGGAAACCTGTTAATGAAGTAACTAAAGCGTTTTCCTCGCCAAGGGCGCCGTTGCGGTGCTCACAGCCACGTTCTCTTTGCTTTGCAGGTCTGCCAGACCCGATCGGCCAAAACCATTTCCAAACTGGCCTACCATAACGGCGTGGTGATCGTGACGTGCCCGGGCTGCGGCAACCACCACGTCATAGCCGACAACCTGGGCTGGTTCTCGGACCTGCAGGGGAAGCGGTAGGTGTGTGGGGTCTGGTGAGGGAAGGGCATCCCTCAGCCAACACCTGCTTTGTTTGGCACCTCCAAAACGTGGTTCAGAGCAAACCGGAGGGGTTGTTGGGTGGTTCAGTTCTGTGTCAGTTTCTGAAACCGGGTTCTGTAATCAAACTGGGTTCTATCATCTGTAATCTTCACCATCACTGTTGAGGATCCAGATAGAATCCTGGAATGGTTTGGGTTGGAAAGGAACTTAAAGATCCAGTTCCGACCCCAGTGCCACGGTGTAAAGCTGCAACAGCAGCTGTGTGGTACACAGGCACCTTATTGGTGCCAGTAGGTGGGTTACTGTGTATGGAGCTCTCCTCTTCCTCAGGCTTCATCACATCACTGCCAGGCTTCCCTGGCTAAATGTTCCAGACATGCAGACTTCAATGCAGATTTCAGTGATAACTCCCCGAGATGCCTTTAAGAATTTCTGTTTAGCTGTCACTGCTAAATCACTGATCCTGCTGGACTAAAATAGCCCCAGAAGGTTTGGGTGGTTTGCTCTGCTTCCCAAAGACTTCATATCCTGGTGATGCTCATGTGTGATGCACTGTGGAGCGTAAATCCAAAGTGTGGAAGAGTGGTCCTGTGCTCTGCCTTGGCTGTGGAGTCACTGTTGGTTCTCAAATCGCTGTTCAGGAATATCGAGGAGATCCTGGCAGCCAAAGGGGAGCGGGTGAGACGTGTGGCTGGGGAGGAAGCCCTGGAGCTGCTCCTGGAGAGCTCAGCAGAGACCGGGTCCGGAGGGGAGTCCACAGAGGGAGAAGGTGGTGAAGCCCCCCCCAAGATCGGCAGCAAGGGGCAGACCTGACAGACGGGGCCTGTGTGCTCTGCTGATGGCAAGAGACTCTTAACCTTCATTCCTTGATTTCAGTGGTCTGTGTTTAATAAACTGGGGGATTGGTCTTTCTTTATTGTGTGTCTTGTGTAGTTTTGCCTTTGGGCAAGCTGATGTTTTAGAGATGGGGTCTGGATGTTTGTCCTGGTACTTGTTTTGCTGATTTCACTCAGGCCTTGGTGCTTCAGCAGAGGCAGGAGCTTTGTTCTCTGCTGAGAAGGGAGCCTCTTGTCTGGGTGTTTTAGCCTAAGGAGGTGCAGCTGGGGCTGGAGGCTTCAGCCATGGCTCCTGGCCTTGCCCAGGTGCTGCTGCAGAGCTGATGAGCAGAAGAGACAATTGGTATCACCTGAGGAGATGGGCCTGACCCTGTGTGTGCTGGCAGGGCCAGACTGACCCCGCAGGAGGCTCAGATCAGTGCTGGGTGCTGCTCTTCTCCTTCCCTCGCCATCCTCCAGGGCTCTGCTCCGCTGCCCCCCTGCTCGGGGTTCCCACTCGGAGATGAGCGGCCCCGGTGCTGGGTTATGCAATTCGGTGTTGCTGAGGGGGAGGGTGGGCGTGAAGGCAAGATTAATGTTTCTTGAAGCACCCAGAAAGTTGTCTGAAGAGTTACTTGACAGTTATTGAGCTTATTAACGCTGCTGCTGCATGTTAAAATCAGCTAGAAGAAAAAATAATGCTGTGAGAAATGAAGAATGTAGGAGCTTAGCAGCATGTAGCACTCAGGTAGCGATGAATCAGGCAGGAGGTGAGCACACTGTGCTTTGCTTCCTCTGCCTGCATGAAAGTTTAACTGCTCTTGAGGCCCATTAGCATGAAGCACAGTGAAGTAGCTGCTTTCTGTGGTTTTAAACTTGCAATCAAAGAGTAATTCTGGTTGGAAGTGACCTCTGGAGGTTTCTAGGCCAACCCCCTGTACAGAGGAGGATGCTCAGGGTCTTGTCTTGAATATCTCTGAGGATACAGATCCCACAACCTCTTTGGACTCCTGGTATTTGGCCAGTAACTGAAATTCCCTGTGTTTTGGGTGGCATCAGACCCTGTCTCTGTTCTCTCTGCCCTTGTTAACAGCAAGCTATAAAAGTAGTAAAATCCCTCATGGCCGTTGTGTCTTTGGGCTGAACAAACCCCCTTCTTTCAGTCAAGCACATCCAGGTGCTTGTGGTCCTTAATCAGCCAAGGATTCAGTGAGGGCATTGCAGGTGTTAATGGGTTTACTTCATCTGAAGTGTTCCTGGTAATTTCATATGTGTTGCATTATAGCCACAGCTCAGCTGTGTTCCTGTTGTATGGAAGTTCAGGGTGATGAAGCAGCGCTGAGGGGCAGGATCTTCATCCGTCAGCTGCTTGTGTGTGCTCAGATCCTGGTGAAACACAGAGCTCTGGAGCAATTTGGTGTTGGGTCAGTTAAACAGAGGCTTGCACCTCGGCTCAGGGCTGGGCTCTCAGTCCCTGTGTGTGTTTGCTCTCTGCTGGCAGGGGGGTTGTTTCATCACCTTTTCCCTGAAGATCAGCATCGTGCCTCCATTGTGCTGATGCTTTGCTGGGTGGCACAGAGCAGCCCTGGCAGGAGCAGGGTTGCCTTGGAGACAGTTAATTTACAACCTGACCCTTTAATGTTGCTTTCCTTTACCTTTCTGACCTGTTCCTGTGCCCCAGCTTTGGAAAGGTGGGGATAGGTTTTGCTGTTTAATGGTGCTGCTCATGGGCTTTCAGCTGGAGGGGTGAGGGCTGCAGTTGTGTGAGGGAATTTGCATAGAACACAGAAGGATTTGGGGCTCATAGATTGCAGGTAAAACACTTTTGTGCTGCCTTTTGAAGTGGGTTTTGTGTCGTGGGGAGGTGGCTCTGGTCTGGAAGAGGCCCCGGGAGAGCTCGCTTTGGTTCGGAGCAACCCAGCAGGCCGGGCTTTAGGGAGCAGAGAGAAGAGGAGCCTTTCTCCTGACATGGAGCTGCGTCAAGATGGGAGGAAGTCAAGAGGAAGGCCTGGTGCTGCGGGGCAGGGGAGTGACTCACGGTGAAATGAGCCAGGTGAGTCTTTGTGGTGTGGAAAGAGGTGACTTCAAGGGGCACAAAGTGGTGTCCACAGGGTGAGCAGCAAACATGAAGTGTTTGCAGGTTCCTTGGAGCATTTCACTGGCTCCTAAGGGATGGAGCCTGAATCCTGTCCCACAGGGGCTTTTCTGTAAAATACCAACTATTTTGCCTCTTGTTTTCTGCCGCTGAGCAGACCTTCCTTCCTTTTGCAATGCAGCCAGATCCCAGAGTCAATCGGGCCGGTGCGGGACTCTGATGGGTTGTGTCTGGGGCTACTGGTGGTTACTGGTGGTTACTGGTGGTGTGGCCCAGGCCCTGCAGGCAGTGGTGTTTGGTGAAAGGGGGTGTGATGGGGGCTCTGTGGGACTTGCTGAGGGCAGGCCTGTGCCAGGCCCAGCCTGGGGGGGGGGGGGGGGGGGGGGGGGGGGTGTGGGCTGCAGACCCTCCTTATCTGGGGCTGTCTGCCATAACCCCCTCTGCTTTCTGCTGCCCTGCACAGAGCCGGCAGCAATGAACTGCCACGCTTGCCGTGCTGCGGGGGCCCGGCTGCACCGAGGAGCCACGTGGGAGCTGCTCCAGGGATTTGCTGCCTGGCTGACAGCGATGGGGCAGGTACGTGTCTTCTGTAGCATCAGTGCAGTGGGGAGGGGTGCTGGAGGCTCTGGAATGAATCACCACTTAGTTGTGCTGCCTGCACAGGCTCTAATACAGGCGAGTTCTGGGCCTCCAGGTCCTGCTGTAGTGCAGGCCCCTGGGCTGGGCTGCCTGCAGAGCCATGCAGGAGTTAACTTAGCCCATGGCTGTGTCCTGCAGGCAGGGTCCCAGCAGGTTGCTATGGGGAGCTGCCGGAAGCTGTCCAGCTCCAGCCTGGAATTTACAGTGCCTGGGTGCTCGGGGCCAGCGTCCTGCAGGCTGAGCCCCTGCCGTGAAATGGAGCTCAGCGGTGGCCCAAGCAGCAGCACGAGGCTCTGGGGAAGGCTGAGGTAAGCGCAGGGACTCGGCCCTGACGTGACTTGGCAGATGAGCAATGCAAAACCCCCACAGGCCTGACATCAGCCGTGTATCACCAGAGCCCCTTGGGGCCTGGGAACAGCTGCGTACCAGAGAGCAGGAGCTGTTTTCTGCTGGAATCTGCTGGATTTTGAGCTCCTCTTCACCTCCAGCCCTGCACCAGGGACCCTGCGCTGCGTAACTCGCACTTTACAGCTGCAGCTCCAGCCAGGTGGCCATGTTAGCACTGCGTGGGCTCTAAGAGTCCTGCATCTCTCGGGGGGATGTCAGCACAGGAGAGCTCATCTCTGTGTGGGCCCAAGCTCTGTGGGTGCCTTGGCAGTGTGGGATGGGGGGCCTGGTGGGATTTGTTCTGGGGATGCTCAGCCTCCCTCCTTTGTGTACTGGGGACATGGTTCTGTCCCCAGGTCACACACACCACAGCACAGAGCTGCTCATGTCCTGGCACCTGGTGAGAAGGGGCTGGTGGCTCTTCAATGATCTTTGGTCAGGACTTTGGCAGCACCAGTTACCGTGCGTGGGAAGAGCAGCTGTGACTTGGTTTTATCCCCACAGGGCTCAGGATCCAAAACCTACTGCTCCCGGACCCACTCCCTGGTGAATCCCAAGGACCTGCTCACCCTACTGTGCTGGAGCTCATGCTGCTGCCTGCTGCTCCGTGAGTACCTTTGCTAAGGGCTGATGCCAGGGCTTTGCACAGCACTCACTGCCCCTTTCCTCTGGGAGCTGCCCTGGGGAAACAAGACCCAGGCACCGAGACAGAGCAGAGCCTGAAAGGAGAAGCTCATCCGCATTCCTAGAGCCTGGAGGGCTCAAGCTGCCTGAGGAAAGCTGGTCTTGGCCACTGCAGGGCTGCTTGGTCTGCCCCTGTTGTCCTGGTGACTCCTGGGCTTCGGCCGTTGCTCTGGGCTGGGAATGCTTGGGGCTTTGTGTGTTCCCTCCGCAGCCGGGCAGGGAAGAGGCTCCCTCAGAGGCCCCTGTGATCTTCACGTAAGGGGATGTGCAGGTGGGTGCTTACACCCTTGTCTTAGCCCTCCCCCCTGGTGAGAGCTGCCACCAGAGAGCACACCCACCCCAGCCCCATTCCCTATCTGCAGGCCCAGAAATGATGAAAAGTAACTTGGTCACTGAAGCTTCGACACAAATATTTATTAAGCACAACCCCTCCCCTCGAGCTTTATTCATTTCTAATATATTAATTCATTTGGCAGATTATTTTTTAGAAAAAAAAAAAAAAAGGAAGTACCTGGGGGTTGAAATTCCCCATTAAAATGACATTAGCAAATGCACAGGTAAAAAATAAATAAGCTCATACATTCAAGTATATGGCAAATAATCAACACCTCGGGAAGCCTCGGGGGCAGTTCCAGGCCAGCGCCTGGCTGAGAGCTGCACAGCCCCTGCTGCAGCGGGGCCACGTCACGGTCGTGGTCAGTGTCCTCTCACAGACACAACCCAGGGCCCTGCTCCGAGCTCCCCGCAGCAGCTCCGTGGGCAGTGCAGGCCGGTGAGTGCCCGACGAGCAGCGTCTCTGGGCTGGAAGTCCTGCTGCTGGTGGGAGACGTCTCCATCGAACGCACTGCAAATAGAAAGTGCTGATTTGTTCTCTGCAGGAGCAGCTCTGCCTGGGCAGAACTCGGTGCTGGAGCTGCTGAAGTCCAAGGTGGTGAAGAGAAAAGACAACACTCCACGTCCCGAAGGTCCCTGCTCCCCTCCTCACTGGGCCTCTCCAGCTGTTCGGAAAGGGGAAGGAATGTAAGTGAATGCAGACTCTGGCAGTTGTGTGTGGGGTGGAGCTGACTTCCCAGCCAGCACCCGAGCCTGGAGCTCTCCTGAGGCTCCATCCGTTGGAGTCAGAACCGGAGAAAAGCTCCGCAGGGTCCGGGAGAGGCTCTGCTCTGCTCTGGAAGAAATGGGCCGTTATCCCCGGCTGCTGTGGGACACGGACAGAGGAGGCGGTGGTTCTGCTTCCCTCTCCTGCCAAGCCAGGGCCAGAAAGCTTTGCTGGCTTCCGCAGCAGGTCACTGCCGAGTGCAGGCTTCTGCCCTGGGCATACTCACCTGCACACGGGGCTGTCCTGTGTGAGCCTCCTGGCTCTGGCACCAGCAGCAATGAGGTGTCCCTGTGTGCCCTGAACCGCTGGGCAGAGCCCTCCTGCCCCTTCCCAGGCCCAGGGGCAGTTCCCTCTGGGCTGTGCTGCACCGCTGTCCTCGAGAGGTGAGCAGGGCCTGGCTCCAGCACCCGAGGAGCAGAGGCTGAGGGGCTGGTGCAGGGCTCACTGCAGAGTCCTCAGCAAACCTGTGACCGAGGCTGCTGCTGGGGGGCGAGGTTTAAAAGGACTCTTGTGGCCTCTTACTTGGGCTTATTTCCTCCTGTAGAAGGAACAAAGCTGAGCAAGATGTTCCAGGGAAGAATCCAGAGCTGTTCGTGATGCAGGCGAGACACGAAGACTTCAAACTGGAGAAGGAGCTTTTCCCTTCCCGACTGAATGAAAGGTGTTGTGGAAATAAAGGGATGGAGGCTGGAGCGAACCACCCGCGCTGGGCTCCTCCTTGGCTGCCAGAACAAGTTCCTGGGACTTCAGGTGATGAGCAGAGGGGCCGCCACAGCTGCCTTCCCTCGTGCTGTGCCCGGTGTTACAGTGTCCGTGTGTCCTATAAAACCCCGTGTTTAAAAACTCTTCCCCCATCCACTGGGCCTCTTGCAACACCTCTGAGAGCAGCTGGGGCAGTGCTGGAGCTGCAGCTGCAGGACAGTCTGTGGCCGTGCAGGAGCCTGGGTTTGAAACCACCCACGCTTCTTTAGGAGAAACAAAAGGAAACCAAAGCAGCCCCCCCAAGCCCAAGCCCAGCTCTTAGCTGGAACCGGAGCGCTGCCGCTCCTCCGCCGCCTCCTGTGCCAAGGCCAGATCCACCCGCTGCTCATCCATGCGCTTGGCCTGGACGCGCTGGATCAGGCTGAAAAAGTCTTCGTCGGGCATGGTGGGTCCACGGGGGATGGAGTCCGGGGGGGCGCAGCGCTGGTCATCGATCCTGGCGGACTGCAGGGGGGAGAGCGGGCGTTAGGACAAGGTGGTGACAGGACGGTGCTGTCGTGGAGGTGAAGGCTGGGGCTGGTGCCCAGAGCCCGCGCTCCTGGCTGGGGATGCGGAGCTCGTGGCTCCAGCATCGGGGAAGAGACAGCCCCTGTGGCACCACGCAGAGGGGTTCTGCGGCCACCCACTCCCTTGTAGAGCAGTGACCGAGCACAGCCCTCAGAACGGGGGGAAGAGAAGGGCCTGGAGGCAACGCCAGGGCCCTGCCTGGGTGCACAGGGTGGGGGGTCAGGGGTGGCCTTTGCCTGGGTGGGTGAAACCGGTGCCGCCCTCGATGGCGGGACCGTGCCCCCCCCGTACCCATCCTGTGCCAGTACCTGGCACTTGATGAGCATGTTGAAGAACTCGTCCCCGGGCTCCTGGGCGTCCCCCTCCACGCGCAGGTGCCCCAGGTTGTTCTGGGTTATCCGCAGGCCCGGCAGGTTGCCCACGTTGGCGCGTTGGTCGTCCAGGCGCCGGCTCTGGGAGCTGGCGATGAGGTCAAAGAACTCCTCTGTCTGCGGAGATGCCATCAGGGAGGACTGCGCTGCAGGGGCAGAGGAGCACGGGGCAGGGTCACGGCTCTGCAGGACACCCAAACCCTCCCCACCAAAACACTGCCCAACCACCCGGGCGAAGGGGCAGCGCCTGAGCCGGGCAGGACGCTGCCTTCCTGCAGGACCATCGGCACCTTCCGCCCTGCACAGGGGAGCGGGAACAATCCCAGTGCCCGTGACATGAGCTCAAAACCCAGCCCTCAAAGCACAAGTGTTACGGGGAGCAAACCCCACTGCCCCATCCCACAACTGTTCCCTTTCCCTTGTGCTGCGGCCCCAGAGCTGCCCCGCACAAAGGGGGCTCTTCACCAAGCACCAGGGGCTTGTCTGGGGCAGTGACAAAGGGAGGGCTTCAAACACAGCACAGAATCTGGGCCAAGCGAGTCCTGGGAACGCCTCTTGGGCAGCGCTCAATGGAAGGAGCCTCTTGGCTCCTGGCAGCTCCCAAACAAAGCCCCTGTGCTCCGGGCAGGACAGGCACAGAACTGCCAGAGCCCTGTCCCAGTGAGCACAGAGCACACGAGCGGAGCGCGCTCCCGGCACAGCGGGACCCTTCCAGAGCCCCAGCAATGCATAAAAACCTCAGCACTGACCCAAAGATGAGTTTCTTCCCCTTCAGCTCACACAGAAACCTTGCAATGTGTCCAAAAGGCTGAGACCAAACCAGAGCTGAACCCAGCCTGTGCCTGCTTGTGCGTTCTGGGGACAGCTCCACGTTTCAAACTCAGCCCCCTGAAGTGCCCGGCTCCCGCCTCCAAACGCGCTCCTGTATCAGAAATGGCTCCAGCAACGCGCTGCTCATTTACACCCTCATTTTAGTGAACAAAACTCTTCTCCCCTCACAGCCCAACCTGCCCCACGCTGCCACCCGGGCCCTGCTCAGCACCGCTCCTCAGAGCAGCCTCTGGCCGCAGGTCCTGCTGCACTCGAGGGATGTTGGGGTCTCCTGCCCTGTCCGTACTCAGTGCTCATTATGAAGTGGGTAAATGAATCCACGGGCTCTAATGAGGGGTTTGAGCCCCGTGTGGTGGTGACTGAGGGCGACCCTGCACGTTTCAACTATTTTCTGTTTAAGCAAAGGTCCTCAACCCCGCATTGTAAGAAAGACACAAACCCAAAGCACAGACCCAGCCCGGAGCTGCCTTTCCTGTCCCATCCATTCGCCAGACACTGCCTCCATTTATCCCTGGTCTTCCTATGGGGAGCGGGCTGCCTGCTGCGGCTTCCCATTGTTTGTGCATCGCTCTGGCCTCTCTGTTCTTACAGAGCACCCATCACCAAGAGCTGTACAAACTCCAGACCTTTTCCTCCATGGCAACCCTATGAGGAAACCTGGCAGCCCTTGAAGCTGTGTGGGGAAGCCCGTGCCAGCCCTGTGGGCCCCAGCTCCTCGGGCTCTTACAAGGCTCCCTCAGCACTGACCATCAGCATCTTCCTCCTGGAGATGCTGGCAGAGGCCCAGGTCCTTGTGCCAGCCTCGCTGTGTTCCAAAGGTGAAACCCTCTAAAGGTCCATACTGAGGAAATCCAAGTGTATTTTACCTCTTACTCTCCAAGCCTCAGCTCGCATTCTGCAGCCTTCCCCTCAGCAACCATTAACATAAGAATGTCTCTTCCTTCCTTAAATAAGGATTGGGATTGCCAAAGGGCTGCTCAGTTCAGAGAGCTGAGGCTTGGGGAAGAACATCACAGGATTCGCAGTGAAACCACAGCGGCCGGGCCAGGCCAGGGGAGCAGCATCACTCCCGTAGCAAACGCACGGTACTTACAGATCCGCTCTCCCAGGGCAGGGACCGGCGTGGCCGCTGCCTCCGCAGCCTCCGCAGGGCACTCCTCCAGCGGGCAGCGCTGGTCGTCCATCCGGTTGCTCTGGAACTTGCTCAACAGGTCAAAGAAGCATTCCTCCTCCGAAGGGCTCCGGTTGATCTTCTGGGAAGGCAGCAAAGGAGGAGGGAGTCAGAACAGCCCAGACAGCTCCTGGTGCCCAATGGCTCCGGCCGGCGCTGGCCCCGCTCCGGCTCTGTTCCGAGGTGGCTCCCGGCCGGGCCGCTCTCGCCAAGCCTGGAGGGCCACGGCTGCTCGGTGCCTTTGTCCTGGCTCCGGAACAAGCTCTCCCTTTCCCTCAGTGCACAACCCAGCTCCAGCCTCCATTTAACCTCTCCAGGCCACTGCACCCCCAGCGCTTCCTCTCGGTGCTCCGGGTCCGCAGCCCCCGACAGGCACCGAGCTCCAAACGCCACAAAATCACAGGGTTTGGGCAGAGCTCTTGCACAGAGCCCCAGCCCCTTGTGTCCAACAGGGATTTATTTACATCGTGCTCAGGAGCCTTTGGGAAGCGCCGGGCTGTGTCCAGCTGCACACTGGGAGAGCGATCCCAGAGTCCAGGGCAGCCGGAAGAGCAGATCTTCCCAAGGAGCCACTCCGAACGGGATGTAAAATGAACAGCGGTAAGAGGGCACCTGCCGGGCTCAGGATGAGTCCCTGTGTGCTGAGCTGCTCCCCACCGTGTGCTGGAGAAGATACCCAACAGCAACCAAGCAGAACCTCCTACATTTGGGTCTGCCTGTGCCCAGCTCTATAGCAGCGTGGGGCTGGGTCCGTCCTGGGGAGCAGCACATCCCCATGGAGAGCCCAGGGAGAGCTGGCCCCAAGCACCAGACCTCTCAGCAGGGATCTCCTTGGCTGTTCATGAAGTGAAGCCCCTTGCCCAGCTCCGCTGGAGCCCTCCCAACCCCACCAGGAATGGTGCCGGTGCCATCCCCAGCAAAGAGCTCTGCACTGGGGCAGAGGCACACGGAGGCCCTCGATGGAGGTCTGCAGTGGGGAGGGCCCCGAGCTGAGCGGGTTAAAGCCACAAGTTGGATTCAGTAAATGAAGGAAACCAATTTCCCTGTATGCAAAGCAAAGCAGATGAGATGCACTCAGCTTCTATTTAGGGCAGCGTCAAAATTAGCAGCGGGCCAGAGAGGCACACGAGCAATGTGGGAGCTGCTCAGGGAGGGGAAAAGCCCCTCTCACCTCTCCCCGTGTGCCGAGTGCTCAGACCCTCTGAACCACCAACAGTTGTGTCTTGGAAACCAAAGCCTGCTTGAGCTTGAGCCGAGGCTGCACCGCACCTTCCCCAGCTCCGTGACCCACATTCCAGGCTCATTCACACCGAGCCTCCTCCCCGCACCACGCCGAGTAAAGCAGAGCAGCCCCTGGTCCCTGGGGAAGTTCTGCCCTGCACGGAGCAGCCGCCTCGGTCAGAGGCCCCGGCTCCGGGCTTCCCCCCCGGCACAGACCACGTTCCCCCGGGCACATCCCACCAGGACGCGGTGATTCCACGCACCGGGATCCCTGCTCGGAACGTGCCTGGGACAGGGCAGGATGCTCTGAGCCGGGCGGGGTGGGATGGGGCTGCTGCGCTCCTGGTGCCTCCCGGCGCCGCAGCACCCATGGGAGCAGCAGGGTGGTGCCCCAGGGCCGGTGCGGGGCCAGCTCAGGACAGGGGCGCTGCTCCTCCAGCCAAAGCGTGCCCCAGGCCTGCCCCTCTCTAATTAAAACGCCCTGATGTGACAGGCACGGGGCACTCGGCTCCCTGCGCTCGCAGTCTGTTCCTAGCCCCGAGGAAGGAGCTGGGAGGGCAGATGGATGCGCAATCGCACCCTGGAGCCCCCCATCTGCTACCGAGCTGTGCTTGCCCAGTGCTTGGCACGTCCAGGATGGTCCAGAGGCTTCCCGAGAGCCAGGGCATCCCCTAATGGGGCTGAGCAACAGCACAGACACGGCCAACGGCCACCATGGGCCCGGGACCCAGAGCCCTGCACGGCTCCTGAGTGGCTGCTTTGGTTTGCAGCCCTGAGACCACTTCTCACCCCACGGCTGGTGCCCCTACCTGGCCTCATCGCCCATCCTCTGCCTCTAGCACCACAACTGCCCTATTTGTGTCACTTGCCTCTGCTCAGCCGACCTCCACCATGGGCAAAGAGGCAAAACAGCCCCGTTTGCAGCAGGCAGAGGGAGCCGGGGCTTTGCAGAGACCACCCCGGGGCAGCTCTGGCTGCAAACACAGACACACATGCACACCTCTCCCTGTGTGCGACAAGTGCGGAGCTGCTGCTCCTGCTCCCTGACCGCAGGCAGGCCAGGGACAGACAATGCCCCAGGAGGTCCCGTATGTGGGGATCAGAGCTTGGTCCTGTTTTCCACCTGGACACTGCTGGCTCACTGGAATGCTGGGAAACCTGGCTAAGGACAGCCTGGGAGCAGGACTCGTGGCACCTCAAACAGGCGGCCAAGCTTTTGCATACATTTATCTGCAGTGGATGAGCAGACTTCTTAACCTGAGAGGATGGATTTGGGATGTATAAAACACACCTGGGGTGTCGGGAAGGCAGCGAGAAGCAGGAGGTGATGGGGGCCACAGTCACTTGGGCTCAGGAAAACCATTAAACAAATGCTGAAAGCCTCATTGCCAGAAATAAACCATTTCCCAGCTCCTAACGCCTGAAGCCACAACCCCACAGGGTTTCTACCCCTGGACACTGCTGCCCACTGGGGTCTCTGCAGAGCAGAGCTCTTCTGACACATTCCTGCTCCTGCGCCCTACCCTAGGATCAGCAGGGGACGTGCTAATTATTTCCATGCTAATCTCACATGGTGCTCCCATGCCCGAGGTCCCAAGGGCCCTGTGCAGGCAGATGAGGAGGATCCTCGTGCCCAGCCCCACACGCACAGAGCCAGTCTCTGGGGGAGCAGGGCAATAACACTGGCACCATGGCCTGGGCTTTCTGCCCCATGGCACTGCTCCAGCTCCCCGTCCCCAGTCTCCTTTTGGCACCCCAGCAGTCCATACCCACCACCGGCCCCGGCTGCGCTCCCCCCTCACACCCCAGCTCCTGCTGTTAGCAATGCCCTCAGTGAACAGCTCTGGCAATGGTGGCTTCTCCCACAGCTTCCTGCTGTCCTCCCGGGTTTAAAATCAGCCCGGGCAGCTGGGGAAGCGGCATCAGCCGGGGTGGGATGCGGCTCACCCGGTCACTGAGCCCCACCGAAAGCCCATCCGATCACAGCCACACAGCAACACACTCCAGGGTGCCCTGGGACAGGGCTCCAGAGGTCCCCGGGGATCATGGCAGAGGATTTTTGCTCCGGCAGAGCCACACGCATCCCACAGAGGTTTCTGCCACTGCCACAAGTACCTGATGTACCATGCATGGGTGAAGCATCCTCTTCCAAGGGAGCTTCACCCACCAAACCAAACTGCAGATGCTCTCATGAGCGACCTCAAGGACCAAACCTTGCTCCTCTAACAGACCAGCTTCCCCCCTCACATCTGGTGTCCCCATGGGGCGCTGGCCTGCCTTTGGTCCCCCTCCTCTCCCTCCTGCCCCAATACAACAGCAAAGAGCTGTCAAGACCAAAGGCTTCTCCCGCAGCTTTGCCCAGCCTTCCGAGGGGACGGCACTGCCCTACCTGTGAGCAGGACCCGCTGCCCAGCGGCGATGGACCCCGGCGAGCCTGGCACAGCAGATCCAGCTCAGGAGCTGCTGCTCGAAGGCAATCCTGCTCCGGTGTGCGTGCGCGGGTCAGGGACAAGGCGAGGGCAGCAGCAGGCTCAGCGATAACACAGCAGCCCCTACCCTCACCCCCTCCAAGAGGGAGGGGCATTTAAACCTTGGCATTTAGATGTGTCCACCACGATTCCTCCTCCTCACCTTATTGCAGGGAGGAGACAACCTGGGGATGAAGTGACTTGAGCAAGTCCCACAGTGGCAGAGCTGGGACAGGACCAGGTCTCCAGGAGCAAGCTCTTGACCATGGACAGTGCTTGGGGAAAGCATCCCTTGTTCTAGCAGGTGCTTGTCTGCCCAGGCTGGCAGATACACATCCCAACACATCTACACGCCTCATCTGCCTGTCCCTCTATAAACCAGACACATCCCAACTGCTCACCTCCTCTCTTTTCAAGGCAGCAGACATCAAAACCATCAGGCAGGAGTGGGGCTGTGGTGGTGCTGGGAGCGCTTCATCCCAGACTGCTCCACTCCCTGCTTGTCCCCTGCACGTGGCTCTTTATCCCTGCGTTACCCCAAAACCTCACCCCAGGGGAACCGGCTGCGGGGACCAGCACCACCAGCATGGCCACAGCCCCAAGCTCTCACCTCTCAGGTGCATCAGGCACTGAACTGACGTCCCCATCTCACCGCTTCACCTGGGAAAGGCACCGGAGGGGAGGTTTGCAGGGAGGCTCCCCGGAGGCACAGCGGGGCTGCAGGAGAGGAATGGAAGCAAATCCCTGGCCAAAAGCTGCAGCCCGTTTTACCGGGAGCTGAAGTGTCTGGAGCACCAACACTGGGCTCGGGAGCGGGGCTCTTCCAGTCCCTGACCATCAACACCTCGGCTGGAGTCCCCCTTCCTTGAAGGGACCATCACCTTCAGAGTCAGCAAAGCTCTGAGGCTTGTCCAGTCTTTGCTAAGGACATCACTTCCAACCCTTAGGTCCCTCCAAAAGGCAGGGCTGCACACCCCAGCCTCCCCCAGGCAGCACGGCCAGGCACGGGGAGCCGCTATCCACACTCACCACGTTGTGCTACATCAGCAGCCTGTGCACCGCCGGGATCCACTGCCCAGAAGTTGACAAAATATCAATGATACAAGTTCAAAATGAAGCTACTGAAAACTTAACACCCCCCCCCCCCCCCCAAGCACACACGGGCAATAGCAGAGCCCTGGCCGGAGTAAACCTCTCTCTGTCTCCTCCTTGTACTCCCGGTGGAGGCTCTCACTGCAGAGGATGGAGGGAAACACAAACCAGCCCGAGTTTTACTCACCGAGCCGGCAGCCAGCTCCTCCCCGGGCTCCGCTTTCACCCGTCCGTGGGCCAGGATGCCCGCAGCTCCCAGGGCAGAGCCTGGCGCTTCGCTGCTGCCGCTCGGATGCTCCGG